TTAAAAGACACTATGGCAACCAGAACAACTATAGCTGTTCTGGTGTCCCTACAGGCCTTTTAATGTAAACACTGTCTTTTTAGAAAAAAAGGTAGTGTTTACATTACTTCCTTGGAAAACCTCTAGTGGCAGTCACTCAGACGGCTGTGCAGCACTGATGTTAAGAGTCAACACAATCTGCATGGAGGTGCTGAACACTTCTCAGAAATGCATTGATTGAATGCATCTCTATGAGGACTGAGGAGATGCTGATTGGCGAAATGGGGCGTTTTGCCATGTGTGGCTGAGACTGTCAATTCTGATGATCTCAGCTAAGTAGGCCTGTGTGGTGCTGGAATAAAGGTGGGGAGCAAGGGAGGACCGGCCATCTAAATAGTATTTTTAACACTATAGAGTCAGGAATAAACGTTTGTATTCCTTACCCTATAATGTTCCTTTAAGCGTGGCAATATTCTGTTTTGTAGCCTCAGTTTCCTGTTCATTTTTTCTGTTCTGGTCATCTGCCACTACAACCTATCCAATTAAAACGTTTAATGTGTTGTGCATTCGGATATGTTCTCCTTCATGGCATTTTTGGAAAGTATAGTTATTTCAGTTACTGTCTTAATATTTCGATCAAGGGCAGCTGTAGATTTAGTTGCACTAGTACAGTAATGGAGGTGGGCAAACCATCAGTGATTTATTTCGATTTAATTTACTTCTGTCTATATTTTTTTCTTTCAATATCCAGAAACGTACCTTTTTCAAGCCAGTTTTGTGAATAGGGAGTCACTGATTGGCTGACTGCCCTCAGCCAATCAGCGGTGCCCCTGCCTAGTGTACGTGCTTCCTGAAACTGAAATTTCAGAAGATGGATGCCGGGGGGAGTTGCGATCAGTTAGGGCAGCAACTTTGGGGTTAAACCATTTTAGAGCGGTTCAATCCCTTGAGGTTAGATGATACATGAGACTTTACACAAGATTTTGTATATTGGTTTATAATTTGCACTTAGTGGCTTTATTAGCACGTATTTCTATTAGTGGAAGTAAGATGATACATTGCCCTTGTGCATATGGTAGATGTGCTTATAACTTTTCACTTTATGTATATTGTCAATATGGTTATGTTAATGTTTGTACTTTATGCTCATAACCAATATATACAATTTGCACCTCTTATGTAACGGCTAAAGTGTGTGCTCAGCATGCCCTGTAATCTCTTATGCACATTGTCCATGTGTTCACATCTTGCACTTTATGCACATTGTCCATGTGCTCACATCTTGCACTGTGCACACATGGTCTATGTGCTCACATCTTGCACTGTGCACACATGGTCTCTGCGCTCACATCTTGCACTGTGCACACATGGTCTATGTGCTCACATCTTGCACTGTGCACACATGGTCTCTGCGCTCACATCTTGCACTGTGCACACATGGTCTATGCACTCATATTGCACTTTATGCACATGGTCTACGTGCTCACAACTTGCACTGTACACACATGGAATATGTGCTTACATCTTGCACTTTAGATGCATGATCTATGTGCTCATAACTTGCGCTCTATGCACATAGTCTATGTGCTCACATTTCTCATGATCTATGTGCCCACATCTTGCACTCTATGCACAAAGTCTATGTCCTCACATTTTGCACTTTCCGTACATAGTCTATGTGCTCACTATTCACACTTTAAAAAAAATTGTCAGTATGTTTGCAGCTTGTGTTCTGCGTGTATAGTGAATGAGTTTAGTTGAACCATGGTATGTGTTTTATTCTTACATAATAAGGGTGTATTGTTGAGAATGTATTTGCACTAGATTGTGCTAACTGCATTTTGATGCACTTTATTTGCGCATGATGTATCGTTGCTTTACATTGGACAGATATTTAGTTTGGATTGGAGAATATAGGCTATATAGTTGTACTGCATATTGGTATTGTATTGTAATATTGTATTATTAGGCTACTAAAGTTTTTTTTTACTAACTCTTGGTCTTTTAATGATTGAGGGATAATATTTCTTAGATATTAGATTAATTATGGCGTTATGTAAGACCGCTAACGTTTACACTGAGTTACATCTATTTTATTGTACATTTTTTCAATAGCTACTGTATTTCTGATTGGAGTCCAACTATGTTTCATTGTCTTTCCATGTACACTGCACAGTGATAATAAAGTTGAATCTAATCTAATCTAATCTAAAAAAAAAAATAGGGGTAGCCAACTTTTTGACCTTTGGCTGTCTAAGAATTATGCTTGAAAACATTAATGAGAGTTTTCCTCTATTACTAGATTCACTGGTTTTATTTTTTAAAACATCTATAGTACCTGCTCCGTGAAGAAAAAACTATCCATAATTTGCCCCAAGTAAATATGAAATGGGCAATAATCCAAACACACATTTTGGATTCCACACATTTTATTGATATTATCTAAAAGTGATA